ACTCCAGTTGCCTCTCTGGTGTGGACCGGGAGCCTGGGCGGGGGTGAACCTGCCCTACCGTCTGCACTGTCTTTAAGCTCCCGGACTTACTGCAGTGTCCTTAACACCACCTGGCGCTTGTCCCCATCCACCCCACTCCTAGCCCAGCCCTGCTCCTGACTGGCAGCTCCTCCTTTGTGATTTATGGGGGTAGGACACCAAGTCCTTCCTCGCAGCCGGTTTGGTTTGGTTTTGGCTTCAGGAAATGTGCTAATCCCCTCATGGTGCCACATATATTATATCTTCATGAGTGACAATCCACATACATCAGTCAGGCTTCCGAAGGGAAACATGGGGCACATTCAAATGGGATAAAAGGAGGAGGGTTTATTTACGGAGGGAGCAACTACAAAGGTGTGGATAGGGCTTTGGGGGCTACAGGGAGCCGGAGGACTGGGGGACAGCAGCAGAGCTGTTGGCACATGGTGTTACTGGAGCCTGAAAGGAGGGTCAGGGAAAGTCAGACCCAGACCAGGAGCAGTGACCTTCTGTCAGCCAGCAACACAGCCAGCCTGAGGCAACTTTGTAGGGAAAGAGCTGGGACCACACACCCAGCACCTGTCTCCTGCTTTCTGATCTCCTGCCAAGGTCCCCTATGGTTAAACCCCCTCTGAGGCCAGAGAGCATGAGAGCCCATGGCCTCAGTCCAGACAGGCCAGCTGCCTGGGGCAGAGAGCACAATGCAGAGCTGGAGGGCGATGGCATCCTTCCAGCATCCACCATGAAAAGAATTCAGGGCGCTTATGAGCAAAAGGGAAAAATATAAAACATTAACAATCAAGAAAGCACAGCACACAGAACAAAGGAGAGGCGATTCTCCCAGGAACCTGACGTGAAATGGCTACTCAGATACTAATTTTTGTGTTGAACTTCCTAGCAGCCGCAGCAAAAGGAAAAGCTGGTGGGTCATAAGTTCACATTGTGTGTGCACACGTCAAACTAGAAAGACAGAGAGCCAGATTCTCCCTGTCCCCCATTCCCTGTCCCAGCTCCTGGCACTGATGGTGCCAGAGAGTCTTAAAGGGATTCAGGTGCTTATCTTGCTGGTGATGAAGCCAGAGGAGAAGTGCAGTATTCCTAATTTGGGAAAAAAATTTTTTTTACAGGTTTCAAGGAAGATTTTCAGATGGATGTTTTTAAGATCCTGGCAGCCATCCTACATTTGGGCAACGTGCAGATCACAGCTATGGGCAACGAGAGATCCACAGTCAGTGTAAGATGTGTATTTGTTTCGCCCTTCCTGCGACGGGAGGGTCATCAGCAGACCCTCGCGTGGTCATCCTGCCTTTGCATCTTAGCCATCTCAGCACCAGGCACACTGGGGCTCCTGGGAGACCAGTTTAACAGGAACCAGGAAGGTGGGGGTTTCCATGGGTTACCTTCAAAGAGTAAAGCTTCTTCCCCTTTGCAGCAGTAGAGAAGGGGGAAGGGGTATTCTCTGTTTTTCTTTTATTCAGCAGATTTTTACTGAGCACCTACTGTATGCCAGACACTGTTGTAGGCTGTGGAGAAACAGCAATGAACAAAACGAAGGCTTTCCTGAAGCTTATGATCTGGGGGAGGGAGGTGGAGGGAAGGAGACACAATGAACAGCTACAGATGGCAGTAGCCATGAAAAGGGAAAATAAAGCAGAGGTGGGGATGGGCTGTGCCTTTTGTGTAGGGCGTTCAGAGAAAGCCTTTCTAGTTTGGTAAGGGAGTGAATTGTGTCTTTATCTGGAGGAAGAACATTCTAAGTTGACAAAACAGCAAGTGCAAAGGCCCTTAGGCAGGAAGTGTTAGTGGGAAAATAGCAGAAAGGTTGGTAAATGCAAAGAGGAGTGAGTGCAAGGAGGGGTGGTAGATGAGGCCAGAAAATGTGTGTGGGGGGGTGCAGATCATGTAGGACCTTTCGGGTATTGGACAGTTTTAAGCAGAAAGGACACCTCCTACCTCTTGACATGTGCCTGAATCAAACACCAAAGGTGCCGGCTTCCTCTCTGGAAATAGATTCCCATGTAAGTTTTGCGAGGGCTTTCTTTATTTAGTGTATACAAGATAAGTTTATGTGTATGTCTCTTTGGCAACAAACATTATGGTGGTGAATCTTGGTGTGGGGTTTGGTTATCCTCAACATTGTCCATGTTAAGAGGACAATCATACAGTTAAAAGATGTTTCTGTGAAATGCAAAATCTCCTGACCATTGAAGCTTTGGATTAACACGTGTGTCTTAGCCAACTGCGGCTGCCATAACAAAACACCACAGACTGGGTGGCTTGATGACAGAAATTTATTTTCACACAGTCCTGGAGGCTGGAAAGTCCAAGATCGAGGTGCCAGCATGCTTGAGTTCTTGGCCAGGGCCCCCTTCCTGGCTTGTAGACAGCTGCCTTCTTGCTGTGACCTCAAGTGTCAGAGAGAGAGAGCGGGCTCTGGTCCCTTCTCCTCTTATGAGGGCACTAATCCCATCATGGGGGCCCCATCCGCATGAGCTTATCTAAACCTAGTTACCTCCCATGGGCCCCACTTCCAAATGCTGTCACTTTGGGGGTTAGGGGTTCAACATATGAATTTTTTCCTGTATAACTGAAACAAACAGTCCGTAACAATGTCTGTGTTCCTGTTCCCCAAAACAACTGATGGGAATAATTGTTAATTTTGTACACCTGGTCCTTTCTCAGCTCTGGTACCTGCAGTTTAAGGGGGAAGAGCACTGAGCAGAAGTGGAACATGCTTTTTTTTTGTGGCTCAGGCCTGTTGCCCTGTGACCAGGAAGTCATTCTCCTTCCTCTTCCCAAACTCTCACAGTAAGCACCCCACCTCCACCGATATCCAGGCCTCCCAAAGCCAGTCATTTCACAAAGACTGGGGAGTTGGGGGAGAGGTGATGGCAGGCCTGGGGTGGGGACATGCATGGAGTGGGTGTTGCTGTGGTCCTTGCTTATTTACCTCAGAAACAGGCTTCTGCGCTTTTCCTTCTCACACTCTCAAAGGCTAAATGCATGACTTCCTCCCGGCAAGCACCCCTGCTTTGGACTCTGTCCCATGAAGTTTGTTGTGATGGTCGTATTTTGAAGGAAGAGTTAAAATTGATAGACTAAAAGTCCTTTGTCTAAAAGTCAATCTTAGGAGACAAGTTCTACCAAAAAAAAAAAAAAAGAGAGAGAGAGATGCCAAACTTTTGTAGAAAATGACCAGTCCTGTAACTTTCATTCATTTGCATCAGGAACTCGAAATATTGGGCAAACTCAATCTGGATGAAGCCATCTTACTTTTTAAAAATTGCTGCCCTTTGCATTCCCCCCTGTCGCTGCATCTGTAGCTGCATGGTTCTGGCTGAGAATGTTTGGTTCCTGCTTAGAAGGAAAGAAGCCAGTGGCTCTGCCAGCGCCCTCCCCAGTGAGTGCCGAGCACATCGGAGATACGCTTCATGTTATTGTGATCCTGGTCAGAAGGGGTGTGGGTGGGCAGCAGGGAGGCAGCAGGACTTTTTAGATTGTTCATTCCACCACAGTCCAATGCTTTTTAAATGCAGTCATCGCATGGTTTTCCCAACCGGCTGAGACAGTGTCTACAGGTGAGCTTGCCCGGAAGTTCCCCTGCCTGGGAGGAATGACAGTGCTCAGACTCATGGGCTCGTATCTTCTTGCCTAGGGACAAGGGCCCATTGCCCATGCTGCCTGAAGACAGAGGGAGCAGACCTCCCCTGTCCATTGGCCATTGAGGCAGTCTCATGCCCAGGCTGGGAAGAGAAACAAGGTTCACTTCGTATGTCCAGGAAAAGTCCTCCTCCACAGCCCTCACGTCGGCTGGGAAGCTGCCTCAGCCCAGGGAGCCCACTAGGTCCTCTCTGACAAGGACACCCAGCTCTCTCCTGGGCCAGACCCCCGGGCAAACCCTGACCACACAAGGAGGGATAGGGTGAGTGCACCCTCTCACCGGTGGCTGGGGTGTGATGCAGAGGAAAGAGAGAGGCCCCAAGGCTGTGTCCACATGCACAGGAGTTGAGGACGGATTGCTTCTGTGGCTTAAATCACTGCATTGTTTGGCCAGAGCGAAAGTCCAGGTGGGACACAGCCCAGGACGGCCTGGCATCAGAATAGGGGTGCCCTGCCAAGGACCAGGTGCAAGGACCAGGTTCAGGTTCGGGGCCCCTGCCGGCCCCCTGGCTTCCCTCCGGGGCCTGGCTCTTGTCTCTTGAGGCCTGGTCATGCCGGGGCTGCGGGGCCTAGCTGGACAGGCTGGTGCCAGTTTAGATGACCGGGAGGCCCTTGTGCTTTTTTATCTTTCAAAGGAGGACGACAGTCACCTGAAGGTGTTCTGTGAGCTCCTGGGCCTGGAGGGTGACAAAGTGGCTCAGTGGCTCTGCAATCGCAAGATCATCACAGCCTCGGAGACGGTGGTGAAGCCTATGACCAGGCCCCAGGCTGCCAACGCCAGGGATGCACTGGCCAAAAAGATCTACGCGCACCTGTTTGACTTCATCGTGGAGAGAATTAATCAAGCCTTGCAGTTTTCAGGCAAGCAGCACACTTTTATTGGTGTTTTGGACATTTATGGGTAAGATTCTCTTCCGTGAGCCTGTCTTTCCTCGTTTAAATGTCGAATGCCTGTTAGTTTTAGATCATTTTATTCTGGTTGCCCCTTTGTTTTTCACACGATCAGCATATATGGATGTTAAATATCGTCCCTGAAGCTACAGTGTCTTTTATTGAGAGTGCATTCAGTGAATTCTAAATTAATAATGGCCAGCCACCATGCTGAGTGGTTTCCATGCACTTTCTCATTTCTGAAACAACCTTATAATTATCCCCATTTTACAGAATGGAACAGTTAAGGCTTTGAAGACTCATTCATGGGTGCTCTGCTGGTGGGAGAACCCAGAGCTATACGAGCTCTCACCCACTTCTGTTTCCCTGTAGAGGCCCCATGAGGTGTGGAGCTCTGACACACCTTTCCCATTTCATAGGGTGGAAATGACAGCCCCAGAGGTCCTGCCCCATGCTCACGCTTAACAGGGCCAGAGGTAAACTCAAACCCAGGCCTTTTACCAAGAACTTCCTCACACCTACATCCTCTTCTATTCTTGGATAGTAAGGTTTGTGTGTTTGCCCCAATCTCCAAGAATTCTGATTCATTTGGGAGACCGAGTTCCCACACTGGAGTTTTTTCCTTCCTTCTCCTCTTGGTTCAGTCCTTTTCTAAGTCCCAGGTCAGACACGTGCCAAAGATGCTTGTGGAATAGCCAGAGAGAGTGAGTGAGGGCGGGCGCAGAGGCGGGCCCTGAGGGGTTAGCACTCAGGCTTTTGTTCCTTAGCAGCTGGCCTCAGGTTACCCACCCTCCCAGGCTCCCAGGACCAACCCTGGTTTCTCAGGGGAAGGAGGGGTAGATGGTCCCACGGAAGGCATCGCGGGGTATTCTACCCGGATTGGGGGGTATCCCTTGACACTCTGGGAAAAGCAGCTCAACCTCCCCTCCCCTCCCCACACAGAGGAGACCGGCCAGCTGGCCTGCTGCTGCTGCTGCTGGGTGGGCTGGCGGCCTGGAACTTCTGCCCGTAAACAGAGTCAGCTTTTCCCATGGCTGTTACGTGAGACGGTGCCTCAGGGGAGTGACTTTGCGTAACTTAGGTTCTAAGCTACATATGACTCCCAGTTAATAGTGTATGTCAACAGCTATAAAATAGTGAGGCACTGCCAATAGTCTAGTAAATTATTTACCTTGTTCATTCTGAAAAAAAAAAAAAAAGATTTGGGCAGCCAGTAATCATTTAAGGAGACTTTCAAAAGGGAATATTCCTGCTTAACAATAATTTCTTTCATTGTGGTGGAAATATGTGATTGCTACATTATTCTGTTATTTCCTGTGCTTTTAAAATGTCTTTAAAATAAACAGCCCTTCATTTTGAGATTATTTCATTTAAGAAAAATACTCGTGTGCCAGAAATTGTGTCAGGTGTGATTGGTGAACAGAATAGACACATGGCCCCTGCACTTTTGGGACTTAAATTTTAGTGGCGGAGGCAAGCAGCTAATTAGAAACTGGGATGATTCCAGGGGAATAAGCAGATGGATGTGCTAGGGGTTAACAGGCATGAGATAGAGAGGAGAGTGGCTGAGAACAAGGGGCAGTGATTCAGGAGAATGGCAGGCAGGCATCAGATCCACAAGGTCGACAAACCATGTAATGAGGAATTTGAATTTTTTGCTAAGTGGGCAAACCTGAGACAGGAGTAACAGTAAATTCGTAAGAACTTGTTAGAGTATATTTAAAGTTTTAATTTTAATATTAAATTCCTCCTTGGAAATGATAAAAGTAACATGCTTACTGACACCCACGAATTCACTGTACCCCTACAAAAAAATAAGCGTTCCTCTTTAAGTAAGATTGCTACTATCTAGGGTGAATCCTTTCACGCCTTTCTCAGGGCCAGGCTAGCCCTCATCCTCGCACACCTGTGACTGTTGGGAGACCTGAGCTCCGGGTGATCTGGAAATAAGGCAGCCTCAAAGGAAAAGGTGCCATGGTGAAGGCCATTAAAAGCTGAAGCAGTGAGCCTTGAGAGTTCA